CTAGAAGCAAAGAATAATTTATTGTCCATCTCTGCATGACATAATGAAACTGCCTAATAGAAAAATAAATGGAACCTCAAACATTCTAAGAAATGCAATTTAACAGACCATAATAATTTCAGATGTTTAATTAGAGATGCAAGAAACAGTACAGACTTTAGCAAGAACCAGAAATTTTGTATTCTTGTATATGAGCATACTTTAATATACATTATCTACAGCTATAAATTTTTAAAAACTGGACATTTAACCTATAAGAAAGGAAAAAGCAAAAGACTGCCATTTGATTTGATGTGGAAACAAGCATTCTTATCCTGGAGGCTTTTATTTTATGTATGCTATATTGATATTGCTGAAATTGTGAATGGGATGATGTTTTTCAAGTTACCTTCTCATAGAAAAGTATAAAATACTTTATCAGATAATATTTTTCATTAAGTATGGTTATTATTGAAAGTACCAGTTTATAATATCTACCGAAGCCACTGGGGTAGTTGGTGAGGCAGTGGGGGCTGGAGGGTAGGGAACAGGATGAGAACACTAGGCATGAGGCATTTGGTTTCCAACCTCACTTCACCATTCACTTAACTATGTCCTTGGATTTATCAGTTTGCATTTGTCAATAGTCCAGAAGAAAGGTATTAAATGTTGTTGCCTGTATAGCCTTAAATCTGTAATTGTGTTTCAGGGTATAAATTTGACATTTTTTACTTTAATCTTTTTTTTTAATCTAACCTTTTGAGATAAAGTACTATAAATAGATATATGGAAATCCACAATGGAAGCACCCTGACGAGTTAGCCAGTCCATGCCTTGAGGATCTCTGTGGGATGTGGCCTATAATTAATTTTCTTTTCTTTTAAGATTACTGTCCATTCATGGGCACTGATGCCATTGGTTAACTATCATCATCAGGGGACTGATCAGGAACTCAATTCTCCACTCCTGGTATTTCTTCTAGGCTTGCTTTTTCTCATGCAAAACTTCCTATCTTGGAATCCGGATAGAGTATTGGAATCTGGATAGAGTTTAGCAAAGTACCGTGTTTACTTCTGTTCATCCTGTTGAATAACAGAATGGTCAAAGCATCTACTATTTTCTTTTTAATTTTTTTTCCCTAGCATCAGTAAGGCACAGTATTATTAACATGAAAAATCAGATAGGAGAGACTTTACA